CTGGAAGCAGTTGCTATTTCTACGGCAAATGCTGCAATAATCGTCATATTCACCAGAACACGCCGTCTTCACAGAAAACACTACATTATGATTATAAGCCAGGCTGTAGCTGATTTCTTCGTAGGCGTTGTGTCTATTCCAGCGTTTACTGCTTGGTCGATAATACAGCAAGGCGATCGCGATGTTAACTCGTCCATATTTGGTTTAGTTTTTTATGCTCAAGATAGTTTCTTTGGCGGAGCTTCCTTATCGGGTTTGGCAGCGTTGGCCATTGAACGAGCACATGCACACTTCCCCTTCAGGCACTCCACACTAGGTAAAGGACCGTACATTATCGGGATAGTTTTGATGTGGACTGCTCCACTTATCGTGCCCGGTCTCAGTTTTACTCTCAAGGGAAATGAGGTAGCCAAAAAGATAATAGAAGCATCAGTATTGGGGGTCACGCTAGTGATAATATCAGTTGCTTATTCACTCATCGTTCTGAAAGCCCGCTCCACAACAACTCATCGTCCTCATGATATAAATACGCAAGAGAACAAGAAACTGACTGTCACGCTTGCTGTTGTTACTATACTGTGAATTAAACTAATTTATCAAACATTTAATGTAGGTCCGTATTATGAAAAAAAGAACACGCCCCACCCCCTCCCCCTTTATATTTGTAAGGCAGCCTATTTGTAAGGCACTATTTATAGCCAAAAAATGACAAACGCAGCACTGCACTGAACTGTAGAGGGCCGAAACATCATTGCTCTTATAGCAATATAGCCTTGTTGTTAGGAATTTTTTATTTTCCTGGAAATAATTCTTAGAAAGTATTCCTTGCCTGGAGAATTCTTTTTTCCTGAATTTCTCGCTGGCAACCAGTTGTGACTTACAGCTGGCTGGGACATAAGAACAGATATACTTCTCCCAGGAATCCATCGGCTCCTCCAAATTTTACAATACAGTGGAGGAATTTATTCATAACAAACACTAAAATGGTTCTCGCATATAGTACGCTCATTAATTTAAGATAAACTAGACGCATAGCTGCGTGAACTCGGGCTTCTTGTTGATTAAAATCTAGTAGTAAATCCGCAATATAAATATTCAGCGCAAATTGTTATATCGATAAAGTTTGTATACTTTCGTAGTTTCTTTGGTAAGGCTCGTTTACACTTGCGAATTTTGCAGCGCATCAAAATACGGCTAAGAAAAAAACCTACTTTGTATAGCATCATAGTTAATATTAACTATGATAGCATTCACTACATAGTACCAATAAATGTCACCCTTTATTGTAAAGTTTAGTTTTTGTTTATTTTTACTGATTCATCCTTGAGTCAGAGATCTAGATACGTTCGTGCATCTATCCTTTTTAATAATTTTGAGACAAAATACTTTCTTCTAAGCTTTCCGAAGTTTATATAGTTATGTGTTGTTTATAGCGGAGCTCCCGCGCGGGCCGAAGAGCGGAGCACCATAACTAAGGAAAAATGGTAAACCCGTGAGGATGAGTTTTGATCAACCGACACAGGAAGCCCAGTTGTCCTACGTACGTCCGTCCGTGTACATCGCGATTCTGATTGGCTACTTTTGAGAAGGCGGGAAAAGGAAGCGCACTCGCGTCAGTTTTTGAAAGCAGCTTTTTCACCACAACGATAATATTATTTGAATGTTCAGATTTTACTCTTTATTCTTCAATAAACTCTTTAATGATCACTGTATGTCAAAAATGTATTGATTAGTGTCATTCCTGTGTGAAATTAAAATTAAATTAAATTACTATTACGTATGTTTCCTGTGTGATTGAAAAACCACCAAAACTGTCAAATTGCATAAATGACCCATAAATCATTTTTTTGGATCACTGTATGATTGAAAAATATCAACTGCCAAAATG